AATCCGAGAAGCCTATGTCCAGAGTAATTTACGTAAACAAGGCACATCCTAGGCAACACTGCAATTCATGAACAAACCATCTTCGATCAACTCGAGTAAACTGAGCAACCCATGTTCCGCGATTCACGCGCCCAGATGTTCTGCTGGAACACGGGAACCCAGATTCATGCGTCGTTGCTCCACTGAGCAGCCCAAACCCAGATTCATGCCAGCATCCACCACCACTTTGGGCCTGCCAGCTCTGTGTCACTCATTCCCCAGTGTGTCTCGTGCCGGAAACCGAGTCATCCGTGCCGAGGAGCCTCCAACCAAACACCTATAGAACGGTTGGACTCCAATAGTTGTTTCAAGTGAATACTTCCTATATATAGTTTCTGGAGATCTTGGAGTGACCTTCAATGGTTCTATTCAGTTTGGTTCTCCCCACCAGGCAGCCTGAGGCTATTTGGGCCTTCCAAAGAAGTGGACCCGGCGACCAACATACCGAGCTTCTTCAAACATGGATGATGCGTGCATTCTTTTTGGCTTGATTGAACCCGTAGGGAAAAGCACCCGGAATGCATCAACAAAGGAACACAGTGACCTCAAAAGCTAGAGAGGAATGACAAGGTCATACCTACTCAAGATTACCAGTTTACAGTAAGTGTGTCAGGAACTCAAACAGCATGAAATGCTGCTTCCTAAACAAGGTCTACACTATTACTGTATATATTGAGAACTTGCGAACAATGTCCTTGAAGACACACACACACACCGTCAAGCTCAGGAAAATATACTCATTTTGAGTTCTACCGCCTAGCAAATCCGTCAGTCCTTCTGCGTACACATACAACTAGGATCCTGAAGTACTCGGGCACCGGGTTGGTCCAAATGCATCACTCTCACTCTGAGAGTCTCCAGAAGCCGCGCGCCCCGCGCGGGCGAGGCAAACCTGACCGGGTCACGTCCCCCGCGTCACGTCGACGACGACCTGGATGACATGAAGAACTTCCGGATCTGGGCCTTGAGCATCGAGAGACCGGGTCTCCCCGGTTCCGATTTCGGGGTTTTCAGCATGATGGTTTTCAGGGGTGGACCCCGAGGCGAGAGTGACTGTGGGGAGCGCCTGAGGTGATTCTGAATCAGCTGTGAAAGGGGATCATGATCCAAACTAGCAGTTACTTCACGGAATGGAAACGTCTGCAATGGTCAGGACTAGGACCACCTATGATTGCCAGTTCTCACCACAGAGGGATCTGATCATGCTACTTGGTTCTAGAAACAGGCAAACCAGGCCCCTCTCATGTGTCTCAGAGCTAAAGGCACTGGGAGTTCAACATGAGTGATGTACATCCTCGTCCCACAAATACAATGGCTTGACTGGATCTATTTCTCGTACGTTGACATTGCTCTTTGGTTGGTAGGTATGTATGGAGTCTGTCATCACCTCAAAAAGGCCTCCTTCCTCACAATCATTAGATTACACTAAGAGCGCACATAGCTATAGGTGCAAGGAGTTAAGTAAAAGTGAGTCGACCGGCTTTGCTCCACTCTTCAGAAGTAATAGTTCCGCACGTCTTTTCCCCCAGGATGGCAAAGTAAATGTAAGTATACAGAATATAGAAAAGCCTTGTGGGAGCACTTTGGAAACTTGATGAAACTTGAAAGCTCCCGGGATGCAAGCAAATCACGGGCGCGCGATGAACATGCGTCTGTGATGGGCGTATTGTTTGCGGCCCTTTTAAAAACAAAGAATCGAGCAATGTTCATGAATTTCATGGAAGTGGAAGACAAAGGAACAAGTGTGCACACCACATACTTGTCACTGCATGGATGTGGCTCTATCGGATTTCGGTTCCACGCAACTGACCAGGATTGACGAAGTATAGATTCCCTTTGCAGGGTTTACCTCTTTTCCACCACACTGAGCCCCTTTGGTTTGGCTCTTATCTTCTTCTTTCCCGTCCTGAATCGGCGTCAACGTTGGCTCGGGGACATAGCACCTCCTAGCAAAACACTGCACAAGCTGACGTCTGACAGGGCAGAGTATGCTTTACTCAGGGCTTTCTATCTATATTATCTATTACTGTACATATTATGTAGACCCTCCATCCATCCATCCATTCATCCAAAATCTGTGTGCCACTCTGATATTCTCTTTAAATTGATAAAGCCCCTGCTGACACGATGCGTAAACTGCACCCCATGATCCCATGAATATGCGTAAATAGGCTGCATCACTCTACTCTAGAACAAAACTCCCATTCCAAATTCCCAAATGCCAACTCTTTGGAAGTTGTGAACCACCCAACCTTGACCTGCAGCAACATAGCTCCATGGCAATTTGGGATCCAAAGGTTTTAACTGCAACTCTGCATGGGTATAATAACTGGTATAACTCCCACTACCAAGCTGCAGCTCCTCTGGAAGATCTCCTCATATTCGAAAAGCGCCTCCTACGGAGGGAGCTGCGGAGCGAGCGAAGCGTCGGACGAGCGGATGCACAAGTCCTTTTTGGACTTGGAAAAAAAACAAAGGGTTTTGACTGTGGATTGATAGTCTCAGCATGTCTCAGCCTGTTCGATTGTTGAAAGCCTCCATATTTTGGTGCTAAAGAGCTTCAGAACTGCCCTGGACTCGAAACATCATGAACTCCTGTGGCTCCGGAGGGTACCTGCTGTGGCTCCGGAGGAGTCTGACGGAGTTGTTTGTTTGACATTGTTGTTTGTCTAACGTCCAATCGCCCCACAAACTGCCTCTGGGTTGGCAGTCCACACCCGCAGCCTGGGCCAGTTGAAAGGCTTTCAACATTACAGAGCCCAGCACCCAGATTGATCACAGATTGATTCAAGCTAAACATTACCGAATCTTCATTGAAGCATGTCTTGCTTGGGATGATTCACTGTACAACCAAGAGACTTATGTGCCCACTGTGGCAGCTGAACATCACGATCCACAACCTATTCACTAGATGAACCAGACACCACGCCTACTTGACTACACTGCGCTTGGAGACTGGACAAACACTCAAATTATCATACCGTCGTGAAACATAAAGCTTCAGCCTGCGTGATTTCAGGTATTCCCAAGAGTTTGTTCCTTTCTTTTCCCGCGCAATCTTTGCAGCCAAGTTTTGAAAGCAGGCCGTCTCAAATGCATTTGCTGTTTTTTAATGTGGCCTTCTTTGGGTGATGGGTTCATCCAGCTCTCTGTCCAAGTTACTTTTAACAAACAATAAAACAATATACAACAATAATGCCAATCATGTAGGTCGTAGTCGAAGGTTCATTCTGGTCTACAAATATCACATCAGGTAATGCTCTATCACTGATTTTGAGACGAGAGCACAGCACATACAGTGCTTGCTTTCACATACAGTACTTGTTTTGCATCTATTTTGCAATGTTTGTTAAACCTTTGATGGATTTCCTCTGCAAGAACCTCTACACTTCAAGCAAACCATTTTACAACAGTGTAATCAATACAAATGGCATGATATTGAACGCAACCATGGTGATGTCTATCTTTTCCAGGTGTTTCCTCTTTGCTTTACACAGGCCACATGTACAAAATGAACACGACCTGTGGCCCTACCAACAAACACCCCTGGCACTAGCTGTGGTGTATCTGCAAACTTGATACCGTGATGGGTATGAATCGGGAGAAACATGCAGACATCTAGGGTCCAAACCGTCCAAACCAATAAACAGAACAGGCCCCTTTGGAATCCCGTCCTTTACAAAAACCATGTCATGACTTTCGGGGCCACAAGAGGCCATCGCTACTAGGTTGGAGGCCATCGCTACTAGGGTGGAGGCCGTCGCTATTGGGGTGGAGGCCATCCAAGTCCTTCATGTGAGCCATCGACCTCACACCCAGTTCCGAAGGCCGACCCGGTGGTCACGCCGACGGCTCAATACCCGCGGCGAAGAGGCTCAACGTGTCGCGAGTGTCGGTCGGTGTCGTTTTTCCGTGTCAGTGGGTTTCTTGGGTCCTAAGATGTAGGTTGGGTGGTCTGTCACAGTGGTCGCCACATCTGGGCTATACAGTCTATAGTCTAACCGTCTAACCTGACGCTATTTTTGGAGGCTTGCACTGGAAGACAAACAGCGGGTGGCTTTGATCATGTCACCTTCTAGTGAGATCGCTTGATGCTTCATTTGAGTAGACTGTATGGTCAAGCAAGGTCTAGGGTAAGGAGAAAGTAACAGATAGGACATCCCAAAGTATAGGAAACGTAGAAAAGAACAAGACAAACGGGCACTTTTGCTAGTTATTTGGCTCATCCAATCTTTCGCATGCTGCAGTGACTCAACGTTTGACATAGAAGAAGTGCTATTCTTGTTGGACGTGATCGCGTTTTGAACATAAAGTAACAACATTCTGCGCTGATTAAGAACAACAAGCTGCTATTTTATGCTATTTTTGTTGGCACGGTAAGAACATCAGTTTTGATGATTAAATTACATGGTACCTGGTAGTAGAATTATACAGAATTATACATAAATGAACTCTGCACTCCCAAGAATGTTTTAGCATGTTCTAGCTAGAGAAAATTCTTGAAAATTCTCACATCCTCCATGGGAGTCTCCCAACTGCCTTGGAAAAACAAACCGTCAATGTCTCGCGTAGTCGGACGTGCGAACACCGCAGCTTCACAACACTTGCCATGTGATTCTTTCTCAAGTTCTTTTTCAATTCGAAGTGGGGCACACTCAGTTTTGACAAACCCAGGGATTGCATGAATTGTTTGGACCCAGACTCCGTTCAAATATGCTCATGGCGCTTCCGACCATGTCAGCCGTGTTTGAACATCAGGAACCAAATCGAGGAAGTCTGTGACAGCTCTCCAAGATTCTGCAAGCCATCCGAATGGAAATGGAATGAAATATATTCATTGTGTTCTGCATCAATTTAGCTGCAGGTCTGCATGAACAAACTGTTTGTGTGTCAGTCCTGTTGTGATGCACGGATGCACATCTTTTTGTTTCATTTCTTATTGGATATCTGATCATTCTGACCCAGCTCTTAAAGCTCTAGCAGTCGTGAAGCTTGCAGCTCTCCGCTCTAAAAGGCCGCAGCGTTTCCCGTCGCCGTTCACCCCACCAGGGCGACATGGTCAACCACCGCCATTCGCTCCAGGCCCACGCCTAGGTTAAAAGCAACATGAATGGGTCCGCATGTCCCAGCAAACAAATATGTATAAGATAATGTGCGAGACAAATTTCAACCTAATATCAATGAGTGCGCTGGCCTCCAACATATAAGTTTATCATGTGCGTTATTCTTCAACAAGTTATTCTTCAACAAGAAGATTCTCCTTACAAATTTCAAGGCATGCGATCTTGAACTGCAGGAATCCTTTGTTCTGCTGAGAAGTGGATGTCTTGGGTTCTCAAACATTTATGGGAAAACAAGTGTATATACAATAATAACCATAATGATAACAATAACAGTAACAATAACATAAAGGCGGCCCCTGCTGCAAATATATAATACAATACATTACAATACAAATGCGAGTGACTCGGCGAGTCAAACATAGCATCCAAGAACCCCAAGCCTCACCTTTTCCCACTGTTTGGCCAGACTCTGTTTCCGTCATTCAGTCAACAACGTGCACGCAGCCCGAAACCTCGGGACACGCGGGACACGCGGGACAGCGCGAGTCTTTGACCGAGTTCCCGGGTCCCGAGCCTGTCAGAGCTTAATGGCTGGCCGGGTCCTTCTCCTTGCCCTGCAGATTGGGCCTTGGACGTTCCGTCCGTCAGGACGTGGAAACGGATGCCGCTGGAAGAGCCAGGAAGGGGCCGTGGCCCCGTCGGTACTGGAACAGATTCCACACCGCACCGACAGAGAGACTGAACATGATATACTGATGGGACCGATGAACATCCCAGAGTCATGCGCGAGTTCGTGGGCGTGACCCCACATCCGAGAAGCTGACCTGGGTGGTGAGAGTTGCCCAGATCCATCGTTTTGGGATGTTTCCTGATCTTGAGGTGTCCAGCTTGTCCAGCTCAAAACATGACAAAACTCCACCTCTTCTCCAATCCAAGGAGCAACAGAGTGAACCGCTCCTCCAGGCAACCTGCCATTCGTGGCGAAAAAAAACAACGGGTGGCACGACAGACCTTCTTCGCCAAGAGAGACCTGACAGAACCGAACTGGCCAAACGGAATGTCCAGGACAATCTGATTCTGGACTTCTATATTTTAGCACTACAGCATGGAAAAGAAAAGAGGGACGTAACGGAAGAGAACAAAAATCCAGGCTTGGTTCCAAACTTAAATGGTTTGTCTATCGTTCCAAACTTTAAACATTCCAGCACCTGCCCTCTGTGTCCCAGATCCGGCTCTCACTAAGGCTTCAGCTGGACCTACATTCAATCGTCTCAAGGAACCATGATTTCTCAATTTCCTCCGGTCTTGTGGATTTGCTCTGAGTTTTTTCCCCAGATAGCGAAGCTATAGGGGTTCTTACTTCTCAATGGATGGGTTCCTGATTGCGCAAATTGGCTGCCACTGCAGCTGCCGCCTTGTCTGTGAAGCTTGTCTCCCTTCATGATTTCGCTCTTGGCTGCCGCTGCCACCTAGTCTTCCAAGCTTGTGTCCCTCATGATTTCGCTTTTGGCTGCCGCTGCGGCCTTGTCTGTGAAGCTTGTCTCCCTTCATGATTTCGCTTTTGGCTGCCGCTGCCGCCTTGTCTGTGAAGCTTGTCTCCCATCATGATTTCGCTTTTGGCTGTCGCTGCCGCCTTGTCTGTGAAGCTTGTCTCCCTTCATGATTTCGCTTTTAGCTGTCGCTGCCGCCTTGTCTGTGAAGCTTGTCTCCCTTCATGATTTCGCTTTTGGCTGCCGCTGCCGCCTTGTCTGTGAAGCTTGTCTCCCTTCATGATTTCGCTCTTGGCTGCCGCTGCCGCCTTGTCTGTGAAGCTTGTCTCCCTTCATGATTTCGCTCTTGGCTGCCGCTGCCACCTAGTCTTCCAAGCTTGTCTCCCTTCATGATTTCGCTTTTGGCTGCCGCTGCCGCCTTGTCTGAGAAGCTTGTCTCCCTTCATGATTTCGCTCTTGGCTGCCGCTGCCGCCTTGTCTGTGAAGCTTGTCTCCCTTCATGATTTCGATCTTAGCTGTTGCTGCCGCCTTGTCTGTGAAGCTTGTCTCCCTTCATGATTTCGCTTTTAGCTGTCGCTGCCGCCTTGTCTCCCAAGCTTGTCTCCCTTCATGATTTCGCTC